ATGAAATAAAGAGTCAACCTACTTGATGTTTCAATATAAGCAGAGGTATTATTTAAATGGGAGTACTTATGTGAACTCTCTTTGTAGAGAAACCTGTGGATAATAGGAGTATAGTCTACTGTCAATATATTGATAAAGCTTTAAGAAATATTTACAGCAAGGCTACAATCAAAAGCTTCCAGAAATGTTCAAGATTTTCATCCAGCTTTTGACGAAATTCTGGGATATATTTGGGAAGCTAACATTCTGAGGCCAAAATTATACTTCTTCACCCTCTTGAAGATGATTGCAGGCTGGTACATGCAGAATGAACATCAATGGAAATGATTATTGAAATAATGAAGAAGAGAGATGTCTTGCAAAACACGTGGCTGACGTAAAATCGTACACTGTTTCTCAGGGATGAGATATGTGAAAAGTTCAGGTTGCCGTTGATACCAAGTAACCAGATAAGAAGGTAGTAGTGGTAGTAGTAGTAGTAGTAGTAGTAGTAGTAGTAGTAGTAGTAGTAGTAGTAGTAGTAGTAGATGTAGTTCTGGTAATACTTAGTGATAGAGGGGCTAGTAGTAGATCATTACTGGTATGAGGCAGGCTGTGGCCCCGTGATGGTCTCCAAAACTATATTTGTTATTATATGCTTTTTTTAAATTCTATTTGGTGTTCGCTATTTTTATTTTACTATCGACAGCTGGATAAAACACCTTTATTGAGAAAATATATTTACAAGTAAAATGGGTTACCACATTTCTTATTTTTACGTATTTCATAGGTCTGTTGTCTATGATTATTTATGCTTTAAAATCGTACCTCAAGTGTTTTTCCTAGTTTGTTTCAGCTTTTAGGTGATAATAAGAACGTTTCGTATTTCAGGAATGGTGATGAACAATGATAAATAATGATGATGATGATATATTATAATTTTTATTTTAGCTTCCATTTAGTATTTACTATTTCTATTAGGTACATATTTAACTAACATGTCTATTTTTAGCTAAAATGTGATTGCACATTCCTTATTTTCACGTATTTTACAGAACTGGTGTTCAAAAACTTCCAGGTTTTCTTCCAGAATCATAGCTCAAATATTTTTATCAAGCTTTGGAGGGGGGACACCCCCAACTTCACGAATGGCATACGCTATAGACACTCCCGAGGGTGGTAAACGTGAGATAACGAATATTGATGATAATGATTTGTGTAGGCAACTGTTCCAAAAAATGTTCTGTCTGGATAGCTGGATGAACGTTTTATTGGGCATACACAAGTCGAGTAAAGATAGAGGTTGGATAGGAACAATAGAAGCATGTTAAGAATGATTGAAGGCCCGATTTATAGTATGCTGCAATACATGAAAACAGCAATCAAACGAAAATCAAAATTTTTATAGGGTAAGCATTTGAGAGTATGGCATCAGGAAGGTTGGTTTTGAACTTCATGAACCACTAAAGTATAGATAGAACTTTTAATGATCTTGGAAACGTTCTCAAGAGATGTGTTTTCTAATCTTACCCTAAGAATACCAAAAGCTTTCCACTTAAATAAATAAATACAGAGTCAACCTACTTGATGTTCCAAAATCAGCAGAAGTGTTATTGAAATGAGAATGCTTATGTGAACTCTCTTTGTAGATAAGTCTGTGAATAATAGATAGTAGTATGGTCTACTGTCAATATATTGATGAAGTTTTACGAAATACAGTCAGGTTCCAAGCAAAAGCTTCTAAAAATGTCCACGATTCTCATACAACTTTTGAAGAAACCAAGAAGAAATTAAGGGACATATTTGGGAAACTAACCCAATGAGCCAAAAGGTTATAATACATGAATATCAATTGAATTGATAATCGCAATAATGGACAGGTATTTTTTACATAATCTTGAACTTATTTATTCTTCATGTTTCACTGACGTCTTACCCGATGAGTCAATCTTATAGGAAAATATAGCTTCTGAAACCTACTGCCCATAAAAGGAAGCTCTCGCCTAATTTTATTTTTCTAACAACTTATCAGAAAGATGCCACTGAACGACGAGGGGCGTTTTTAAAGTAAGAACCACTTGCGCATCCAGTAGCGTGACCGTTCAATCTCAAAAAACTCATGATCCATCAGTTTGGTTGGAGAAATAAACGTTAAAAAGGGGCCATAGAGAATTGTTTCTACTTTCAAACATTTCCTATAAACGCAAAAACTTTGATCTCATTGAAGATACGCGAAAAAAATGGTTAACGAATTTCAAGAAGACATCACAACGCAACGCCTCTACACAGTTTACTTCCTCTGCAAAAAACGATTTCTTATAGTTTCACATCCATTTTCCTTAAAAAAATGATAACTTCTATTGATGCCTTCAACTTCTTCCAAAAAAAACAAAAAGTTATGCGCTAAGATATATTCTGTATATTCTGTCCTGGGCTATGCTGGTTATGCGGGGTGTAATCTAAAGATCTCAACATGTTACAGGACATATCACACTATTGTAGTAACACACTGTATGGGGGTATGAAAATGAAAAGAAAAAACGAACAAAGTGCCACCTGGAGGATAGATAAATAAAATGTATTGTAAAAGTCATTGTACTGAAGAATGTCACAGTTGTCACGGAAACGTTTACAATAAAGATTTTTTCGATTGGCGAGAGAAATATGTGGGATTATCATAAGTAATATCATCCGGGCATCTAATTTTTCCGAAAAAAATCGAAAAAACACGTTGCTAAGTAATATTTTAACAAGAAGCATGAGTGCTGGCAACAAAAATCCGAGTCGAAGACGACAGGAAAAAATTAGATGCCCGGATGGTATTTGACAAGATTATTCCACGAGTCATATCATACACATAGCTTACAAAATTTATTGGCAATTAAATCGGAAAAATTGTTTAGCGCCGTTTTCTGGTGTTTTATGAGACCATAATTACTTATCAATCAATCATATTGCAATTTTTTCTGACGAAAAAACTGCTGACAGATGCTGTCATACAATTTTTCCATCTAGAAACCATTCGTAATTCAAAATTGCGCGTTTATGTTTGGTAGAAATTAAGACGAGACAAAATAGTCGACATGAAAACCACAGGATAAAAGTTTCAGATGCTACAATAACCAAAAACTGGTAACTTGACTTGTAAATGTGACTGTGTTAAAAAATGAAAAAATGTTCATATTTTAGTTTGTGATACAATTTACATTCATAAATAAAATTTCTCCGACTCGAATACAAAACGGTTCTTACTTAAAAAATGACCCTCGTAGAAACCGTCACTTCAATGCCTCTTTTTTTTAGGTTAATGACTGTGGCATGCTGGTGGATTATATATTTTCGATTGTACAAATGGACCCAGAATTGTGGAACGACTTGATTTTTCTTCACCTGATACAATTAATCTGAGCAGTGACGGCTAAGGTTTTCTAGGGGTTTCCCTTGCCCAAGTGTGAATGCAGTCACCAAAAACCATATTCCCCTAATAAATAGTAGAGAAGATGGAAAATCATAGTTCTCCTATTAATGATTATGTAATTTATGATAAAATAGATATTGAATATATTTACATAGTAGAACTTTGTTTTTTTCCATAGTCCATAGTCAAAAAATATTTAATCCTCTTAAAGTCCTGTTCGTACAGGTGTCGTCACCTGTCAGTGAGACCGTGTCCAGGATCTTGCCACACAAATTCCGCTCATTATGCTACGCTATATAGACTAAATTCACATGACCGGATCCCAGACACAGCCACCGACAGGTCACCGACCACCAGCGTTGCCAACCCCATCCGAGAGAATAACGTGTATGAGCTTGAAAAAACTGTAGATAACTGTAGAATATTATTAAAAAAACTGTGGTTGGGTTCACATTCTCGACTGATCCATTTTTGCAATTTAGAACATACCACTAGAAATTAAAATGCTTTGAGTGCGGTTCAAATGACCTCTACTATACGTATTTTGGGTTGCCAAAGCCGAATCTAGCGTCATTTCTCATGTATCTGATTCCGTTACATGTAGATCTGATTATTTAGCGAAAAATTGCAAAACTATACGTTTTTACAACTTTTGGGTGCTAAAAACCCATTTTTCTTATCGATGGCTATCGAAGCTTTGTACAACAAGGTAATTTAGGGTTTGGGGCGCTGAATACAAGTCGTAATCAAGAAAACATCATACACAGGACCGCATTTTAAGAGGGGTCTTCTATGTTGCACTTTTTCCTCGAGGGCTTCATTAAAAAGATACGGGGTGTTGAAGTTTAAAAATAAAAAAACCTTTTTTAATACCTCCAAAACCGTTAACTGGAATAAACTAAAATTTGGTATGCGGATTTACCTATGTACTTTCCACATTCAAAAGTCTTTACTTAAAATTAAGTGCATCAGTGGTGGAGATACAGGGGATTAGTGGCATTATTTTTCCAAATAAAAATAGTACGTCACAATTACTCTTGTTTTTTCCTAGAGTGCGTCCAAAATTTGGGTTTAGCTTTACTTCAAAATCCAAAAAATAATCAACCTGTCATGACAGTCAGTACTATCAAATTACCACGTTTCACTTTAGAGGTCATACATTTCATCAAAAAAAACGTTCCGTAAGGCTTGACAATTCGTTAATTTTTTGCACTAAAAACTTTCTTCCCTCCTGCACGAGAGTATACCCACTACAATTGTCTACCTGAATATCTTTCCCAAAGAAAGAAATATGCGCCCATGTATTGTTATGACAGGGTAGTAGGCCTTGATAGACAAATGTATCAAAAAATCTGCGCTAAATCTAAGTAATTGACATTGAAATTAACTACATGCATTTCCTTGTAACCATAGGTATATGCGTCTGACCTATTCGAATGCACTGTTCTAGTCCTATTCAGACAAATGTGAAGTGGTTTCGCACTGGTCACCATTTACTATCTTGCATTACCTTAGATGCACTAGCATAAAAAAAGTGGAGATTTATACGCTGGTATTTATAGGCTTAACAGTGTATGTATAAAGTTACTTCTTAGCTACTAACCGGTAGTTCCTTGAGTAGGTAGTATAAACGCAACTCTAGTTTTTGCGTTCTCTACGAAGCTAGGTATGAAGTTTTCATCTTCCTTTTGAGTGAGGAGTAGCTTCCGGAATTGAACGGTACCTGTTACTTCCGGGTTGAAGTTCACTGTTGTAATGTTCATATTAATAGCCTGAAAAGCTGATGGTAACTATAACAGAATTACATAGTGTTCATAAATATGTTTCATTATGTTTTTGTACAGAATCAGCACTATTCTGGAGTTTTAACTGTTCTTCCTGATTTCAGGTAAGTTGGTTTACATAGGGGGATGAAGTGGTTCAACAAGTGACAGCGGTAAGTTGTGTCGCTTCCGTTTTAATAGGGCGAATCTTAAAAGCACAGTAGCTTCAACATTTTCATATCCTGTTGTAGCTACATTGTACCGCTTGTGATTCTCAAATAGGTAAATACTATTCATTTCTACTTCCGACATTGGATATTGGAGTTAAAAAATAGAAAATTATAAATGAATGGCTTTTAAAAGGGCCTCAACTACAACTTTACAAAGACATGTAAAGTGAACTTGATGTTGAATAGTTTCTAATATACTAAGAAATGCCTCTTCCGATTTTATAGGTGACATTCGAAAATATATACTGTTAGACACTGCATGGGTGATCTACATGGTGCTAGTAGCATATAGATCTTTTGAGGAACTACATAAATGCTATCTCGCAAATTTTTGGTTTTGTTGGCGTCCATAAAACCATAAAATACCTGAAATATCCTGTCAAACTGGGGGATAGTCCTGGAGTCGCCAAAAACCAGTTTTGGTTTCAACTGTTTCATAAGGTCTAGTACTTCCTTGTAGTTGAACTCCGGGTCTAGCGGTGCTAAGATGGCACCTAAGAAGAGTGCCGCCAACACAACTATCACCTGATCTGTGTTTGTTCTGCTGCACATCACTATTATGTCATCGTGCTTGATGTCTCTCCTCTTCATCTCAATGGCGAGCTTTACAGCTCTGCCCCGTACGGAACCACGGGTTTCCGTTACACCAGTGGATACATCAACCTAAGCAAAAATCAATATTTTGTGTCAGGTTTTTGATAAATGTGTATGCCAAGGTGTCCTTGAGTTCAAGCCAGTGCACCACTATACAATGCATTCTGAAACCGTCTTCCCCCAATTGTCTTTTGACAAAGTGAAATTAGTGAGCTGAAATTTGGAGTCATAGAATTCATGTAAGCCAGGATGTTCGCTTACCCGGACTTTTCTGATACCCGGGTATTGGGTATTTTTTGTTTAGATATCCAACTCAATTGTAAATAAAACATATTATCCATAAGTTTGGTTTATTCAAATTTATACATAAAAAAATAAACTTCTTCTCAACAAAATCACTATAGAGATCAACAAAAGTTAATTAATGTCGGATTCATTAATGAAACATCAATAGGTCAAACGAACCACCCGAAAACCTATTCCGTGATTTTATTACAAAATACATAATTTTTACCAGCCTATTACATTTTCACGAAAAATTTAATGTTAATCACCGATAGCCTATTTATAAACAAATAATATAATAAACATGACACTGATCATACTCTTATTTCCAACATGTTGAACATGTAGTATATTCGAGCATCAGATCTACCCGAAAAAAGAGACTGTATTGGTTATACTACATAATTTTATTAGGACCTGCATGCTGCCAGTCACAAAATAGCTTCAAGGCTTTGGAACAATTTTTATTAACAAATTGAAAACATTGTTTTTTTTTGCACCGGTCAATGTTTTTCTAGTTTTTTGGGTTATTCGCAACAAAAAAATCCTAATGCACTCTTCTTCAAAGCGCTAGTAGTTTATCATGCTGAAAAATATAGGGGGTATATAGGACATACCCGAACTGGGTACCCTGGTCCGAAAACCCTATCTTTCAAAATGGCAGATTGGCAGACTGTCAAAGTTGAGCGTTTTTGTAGATTGTGTTGCTTATAACTCAAAAACCATCAAAATGCCCAGCCAATATCATGAAATTTTGTCAACTGTCACTTTTATGTTAAAATATAGTACTCATATATCAATTTCATCCGCTTGAGTTTCAGATTGCCTTCCTCAAAACAACCTAAAATGTGTGCGGGGGACTCGCTAATTGTCTCATTCTTACAAAACAGTTTATGGGCGACTCCAATTATATAGAGGTTTTTTGTAACCTTTATGATTTTCCTATGAATGTAGGAATATCTCTTAAGAGTTTAGAATTAATTTCATTGCCTGTCGAAAATTCCCGCAGATGTTTTTCAACTCAGGGTGTTAATTTTGTATCCATGCTTTATGAATGTTTTAACTTTCATCGTGTCAGTTTACTAGACAACGACAATTAGAAAAAGAGCTCAATAAGTAAGATGATCTTCACCTTTCTTGATAATAATGCTATGAACAAAAATGACGCCTTTAGTCTCATTTGTAGCTTCTTAATAAAGACATTCATCAGATTAAGACCCTGAATAGTTTTCATGTTGCCTTAATATTTGTGAGTGCTCTTCGTATGGACGTCTGTAAATTAAGTGATGAGACTGACAACGTAGCGTTCGATCTGGAAACACTGGAGGCGCCTGGGTTGGAGAGGAGACATTGGAACATGTGATCGGCCTTCAGTACAAGTTTGAACTCGCTCGAGAAACAGTTTTTCCTATAGTGTTTTAAAAATGACTGAAATCAACTTCGAACAACGGTGTGTTATCAGGTTTTGCTTCAGACTTGGGCACAGTGCAACGGAAACTCTTGCTGAACTTCAGCAGGCCTACACATATATAGTGTTTTATCAAGAGCCCAGGTTTTTGTGTGGTTTGAGGTATTTTCAGAAGGGAGGGAGTCGATTAAAAGGAACAACGAAGGACCGCTGAAGATATAATAATAATAGCCTAATAATAGCCTTTATTCAACCTGGCGGGTGTCAGCTAAAAGCTGCTTTCCATACCAACCAGGTCAGAACCCGGGATCTTGTGCATTCAGATCAACGGTTGGCAGTTAGAATATCAGTGACGAATTAAATTTGGCTCATAACACTGCTAATGAGATGAAGAACAACTGGGTGTTGCATCACGATGATGCTCCTTGTCAACAAATGAGTTTTTGGCTAGTCAAAACATTCCTCTCCTCAGCCTTCTTATTCGCCTGTCTTGAGTCCTTGAGACTTTTTCTCTCCCGAAGATGAAAAACCAAGTCAAGGGAGCTCATTTTGGGATAGTCGAAAACATTCAAATGACTGTATCCGACCAGCTGAAGGTTATTCCAGTTCCAGCACTACTATGAGAAGTGGAAGAAGCGTACTTAGCGCTGTGGAGTTTAAAAAAGAAGTTATTTTGAGGGTGACGATATAACATTGTAGTTATATTTGAATAAAAAATTGAAAAAAACAGTCTATCTCTTAATTTACAGACCTCGTACATACATCTCCCGAAGAATGATCTGTCAATCGTGTTTGGGTTCAATTCGCTGTCTTCCGGTGACGTCAGGAACACATGCATTTAGCAGTTCATCAAAGATTGGACCAAGAAGAAGAAGTCTCACTGCGAGTTCCTGTCAAGACTAAGGTTGCAGGTATTTGTAATCGGAAGCCCAATTTCGGAAAGCTACATGCTAAACCCTGTGTCAAGGCTCTAAAATTTGACTAAATGATTAAATCTAGACAGTCATTGTATGAAGGGTCCACAATTGATCCGTCGCAGTTTGACTTAGGTTGGCATGGTAACATCTGTAACCTGTGGTGTTACTTGATATTGTATCACTAATACTAAATAAGTCTACTACAAACAAACAAAGACAATTATACATCTGAAACTTACTCTTTCCCATTCATGATTTTATCTTGCCGAATAAAACCACACAGATGCTCGAAATTCTCCTTTATTTTATGACTTTTCCAATCCATCAGTGTCCTTTTTCAAGTACAACTGACAATATTCACAATATTTTTTGTTTATCTGTCTTCCAAGTCATACCCCTTTCTTTATTTCTGTCGATATTTAATTTACCAAAGACGTCACCCTCGTCTACCGTCTCGTAAACGAAAAAAATCATCCGAAACGGCAAAACCCACCCAGAACTGTTGTCATAGCATACTGGTTAATTGTTATGCAATCTTCGACCATAAGTGCTGCTTTTGCATTATTTATGGATCTGAAATGCTAAAAATATATTGTGAAAAGTGTACTTAAGAAAGGTCACCACTGGAACTGGAACGTCGTATAATAAAGATGAATTTTAAACATATTTGTGGTCTGACTCGGCCAGACAAATTTGGGGATAAACGGTTATACATCGCATAGAGCCTTGTCTATCCTGAATCGAAATACGTTTGGTGGGTTCTGCTTGAAGCCCTTAAGAGAAAGTATCGGTATTGTTCTGGGATATTAGGTAGGGCATTGAGCACCCAAGCTCATCATAGCTTGTTCGCTCGTAAAAAGGGAGAGAATTTTATTGAGCTGTCTGAAAACAAGTATTATGATACAATAAGTTTACCTGAATGATCTTGTCAAGGTCTTGTCCCAATTTGTCAAAGTATCTCTTTCCAAGACCTCCATTATAAATTTCATACGATACTCTGCTTCCTTCTATATCTATACTACCCAGCGTCGATTTTCTTTTTGATGTGCGTGAAGTCATGTTCTACATAAGTACATTTTATGAATTTTTCGGAATTTTATACAAACTGGGCTATAAATGTGTCATAAATAGGTCGTGTGGCATTTTGGCAGAAGTGACTTTCCAGTTGGTGTAAGGTTATATCATTGAGCATACTATCAGCAAAGTGAAGTGAGCACCTGAATATGGACTGAACAAAGAATTCCGAAACATCACTCAATACACACTAAGTATGTTAATTCAGATATTGTCCAGTAGGAAGTCTCATTGTGGCCCTTATGCTCTTGATATTGAATGCAAGCATTGATTAACGTATTTTCACCTGAAGGTAGTCAACTATGTGCTGTATTTAATGCCAGACAATTGAGAATATCCTCCCTACACCCTACAATGTCCAGCCCTCAATTTTTAACTCCTACAAAATTTTGCTGAAATTTTGATGACGGTGAAACGTCAAAAAGTGAAGTTTGAGTCAACCTGATTTTTTGGCAATGAGGTAGTCTTGCATCAAGAGTAGAACGATAACATTCTCATGAAATTTTATTGACAAGTAATAAGAAAAAAAATATGTTCGGCGATCCCGTAGCTCAAATACTCCTGTAGATGGCGCTACATGCATCGCCTGATGTTAACTGAAGTCATATGTGGCCCTGAATTACTATGTAATGAAATGTCATTTTGTAAAAACTACGAAGCACGTTCTGAGCAAATTTTGTCTGCTATTTTTCCTATGCATGTAAGTTGGATTCAGAAAGTAAAGTATTATCAAGCTCTGGCATAAGTGGCTTATATTATATGGTTCTTCGAGAAATCAAAGCAAAACTAAGAAGGAATAGTGTTGAAGCAAATAAAGAACTGGACCCCATGCTCCTCTAGTGAGTGGAGGGAAATAAAATTGGCGCCTTATTTGGAAAGTTGGGTGACAGAAGTTGTTATTTATTTTGAATTTGATACTGAGTTGTTTTTGACTTTGTGGTGAATGTTATATAAATCAGATTCGAAAAACAAAACAAGTACAGGGACACTTCATAAACACTGTCATTGAAAAGTATAGGGTCGTCGCATAATGGGCTATCACAGTGGGATAGTGATGGGCATTATCATTGACATTAGAAATATTAAACCTTATTTACTCGTTCTTGTCAGTATGAAAAACAAAAAATTCCTGGTATTTTGCTTTCGTCAGTTGTTTGATACAACATCTGCTACAATAAATTATTAATGCGTGTTCTAATATGACGATGATGTACGCAAAATACAGATATTCATTTTTAAATTTATTATCGAATCTCAGATTTATAACTTAATATCTGCAAGACTTTTATAGCGTTTTTTTGAGAAATCAACTTCTTTCTTAACAGTGCATATGTGGTTAAAATTTGTCGGACAAGTTGTGAAACACTCTGTGTACATATGCAATCGGCCAGTATGCATGGACGACTGTGTGAGTTCACAGGCATAATTTTTGCCTCTTTATCTTCAAAAGTTTTTCGTCAACGTACGAGTCTTCCACAATTATGCTTATCATTAGCATTAGATATGGGTTTTACTTCTTGTTAGTCTTCGGTATAAAGCATTATAGGGATGCCTACAACTACAGTGTTGACAACCTCTGTATAATTCATAGGAGAGTTTTGGCAAAGTGAGTGAGAACAACGGTTCTCTATCACCTAATTCAGGGCTGTCCAACATACTCCTTTCTTGCGGCCCGCTTCACGGGTCATGTATACGTCACATGTATAAATTACTCTCAAATACCGAATATGCACAATTTTTACATTAACGATAAAATACAATAACATGTGACGCCACTGGCGACCGATAGCAGGCCGCAGCGAATTTACTGGAAATTAGACCGATCTCTCGATTATCCCCGAATATTCGATAAGCCACGGGCGCGTATATAAGAAGGTTGAATCAAGCGGGACAGGCAGTTCCGAGCTAGCAGCCGTCGCGAGTATACACTTGTGCGACTGCGACCCACCCGGACTTACAGTGCGATCCTATTGTGATTTTCATCACGATACGATCGCCATCCACGATGGCGAGAATAGAAAAACTAACGAACCAGCTGAAGCAGAAGGAAGATAACTTCGCAATGCTTGCTGAGCAGATGAAAAATCTGCAAGAATGAATGCAGGCGAGGCAAGAAATAGAGGAAGTGAAGGGGAAGCTCCTCAAAGCGAAGAGAAAGGCGAAGAAGACGGTAGAAGAAGAAGAAGGAGAGGACCAGGGAGACGAGGACCAGCAGCCTACAGAAAACAGGGACATGGATGCCCAAGTTATCGAAGAAGAAGAAGCCGAGAAGAGGACCGATGACGCAGACTTCAGTGTCGTCACCAGGAGGAGAAAACGAGTGAGAGTTTCCTCCTCCTCCGAAGAAGAAGAACCATACAGGCAGCCAAAGATGCCAGCTGCCACCAAGAAGAGAGGTCCTAGAGCAACCAGGACCACCGAGGCCCCCATGGCAGGAACAGAAGTTCCGCCAATCAATATCGAGGGCACCGCTGATTGGTCATCCTTAAGCAGGATGATGAACAGCAAGGGGATCCAATTCTCCAAGGCGAGGACGGCGGGTAACAGTGTGGAGGTGTTCACAAATACACCAGCTGACTACCGTCAGCTAGTCGCACTGCTGGAATCCATCAAGCGGCCCTTCTTCACCTATCAACTGAAGGAGGACAGGATGGACCAGAGGGTCATTCGTGGGCTACCCAGGGAGATGTCAGTCAATGACATCAAAGAGGATCTAGTGAGCCAAGACATCGCAGACGCCGAGGTTCAGCAGATGACCTCAAGGATCACCAAGAAGCCACTTCCGCTCTTCCTCGTCAAGACGAAGATGCCGGAAAAGCTTTTTTTTTTCACTCCAACTACCACGAAGGCCTAAGGCCTAAGCACCCATATTCACCAGGATGCTACTGCAGAGAAGGATACTTGATGCAGAATGGTGTTTGCATACCAAAACAAGATTGTTATAACAACGCTAAGGGTATGATGAAAGAATGTCCTATAAATGAAGGGTATCTAATATATAAACCTTGTCGAGAAAAATGTGACGATTCAAAGTATGGAAATTGTGACAATTCTAACCAACACGCCCCTGGCTGCTACTGCGCCAAAGGGTACTTGCGTAAAGACGGCGAATGTGTGCCTGAATATCAATGTTCTGATTCAACTGAAAGCAATTCTGCCTCACAGCTATAATAATGGTTAAAAATATGACATTAATACATATAAATAAAGATATCAGGAATATGTGAAATAGTTTTCACTAGCTTTTATTTTTATATACTCCATAGTGTTGTTTGCTATATATTCTAAGAAAGAAAATCTGTTATTTTTGTGCTGACAGTTATGATTTGACCTACTCACCCATCTCCAATTATATAGCTTAAGCTACATACAACTGTCATTCTCGAATACTTTAGGTCAGGTGTATTAGAATTATTCGTATTTGTTAAACAATACTTGTTTGGGGCATTGTTACTTAGCTGATGAATAAATATTGCTTGTTGAACAAGACAGTTCGTTTGATTTCCCTATACACCCCGTTGTGATTGAAAAAAGCAGTGGCAATAATTAACAGAAAGTATATTGACCTCATACAAAATGTGCCCTTATCCTATTTTTGGGCCGATGACAATACAATAATCTTGAAAGAAATTGAATTTGAATATATAAGAAAAAATTGGATTTGAAAATTTGGAAAATTCTGAAATTTGGAGAATAGCCTGAGGATTTGTAAATTTTGAGGACAAGGTGAAAATTTCGCAATTTGTATAATTTTTGAATTTTGATAAAATCTGGAGATTATTAAATTGTTTGATTATAATACGTTTTGTTGCCGCTTTGAGATTAAAAATTACAAAAATAAATCATAGTTTAAGAAATCAGAAAACAGGGCTTAACAGCAAATCGAACTGAAACAATAATTTTTAAGTAAGGGAGAGGGTAAGGTAATGACAAAACATGCAATTATAGTAAAAAAGCGTATGGTGAAATTAACAAAATTTTCGTAACTCCAATTTTGTAAAAGAATAGCAACTAATATTAAATATCAAGCAACCCACGCTTTCATATTTATATTCTCCTTTTGGAAGGGTATCTCCGAATATGCAATAATTCATGGAACATTCTATCAAAAATATTGTCAAAATTTGTCCATTTTTTTTAACGGAATGTCTTATATTTTATTGCACATTCAGGTAAACCCTTCCAAATGAAGGATACCGATATCACATACTATAACGCTTTGATTATAGTTGTTGAGTTATAATCAATTCAATGTAAAAACATGCTCAACGTTGACAGCCTGCAAGTTCGCTATTTTGTAAGACAGTGATTTCATATTCAACGGTTATAAAGCACACATGATTCTTCAAAATACAACAAAATGGTGCCCTGCCACCATCTTTGAGTTTTTGCTTGTTATATTTACGTTAAATTGTAGTAATTATGGGTCCATAGATCATTCCGAATTTCAGCTTCCTAGCAAGACCAGTTCAAAAAATAAGTAGGACGATCCTTTTTGAGAAGCACGATCTAAACAATACAAATTTACAAACCCCTAATAAAATTACACGAATCTGCCATACCACCACTTTCGAGTAATTTTCATTAAGGTCGAATTATTGAGTTGAAGTTGTTAAATCTTCTTTTGGTTGAGTCATTTTCACTTTTAAAAAGCAACTGAAGCCCAGCATCGGTTGTGTAGAACAACATTGAATCTCAATGGGAACCAACTAAGTGAATTCAACACTAAATGTATATAATTGACGACTTCAGGACTTGTACATGACATGATCAGATGATAATTTTAATACTGAAGCTACATAGCTCTGCTAGATATACAAGCAGACTAACCGTGTCGAACTTCGTACGTCCAGAACTGGCCGATACAACCGCTCCTTTGTCCCTAGGGTATCGAGATTGTGAAACAATTTACATAAGTAGGCTTTTCCCAGTTCTACTATCCTTAAATCAAATTATCAAAGTTCCTTTAAGCACCTCATAGCAGCTGCGGTGTCTGGCTTTTAGGTTTCTGCCTGCGCGGCTGCTTCAGTGTAAAAAATATGGTTGGTGATAGCCAACCTTAGAAACTAACAATAATACCACTTCCATCAGTTTATATTTTTGAAGTGTCACTTCGAGTACTGTATATAACCGCCTCTCTCTCTCTCACTTTCTCTCTCTCTGCAGAAATATACATCCATCCACTACGTAATACACCCAAGGGGAATGTCACATATCCCATTTTTAATGTGGTCGTTCGCACCAGTACTTACTGATGGTTTTGTCAGTGTCAGTAGACATCTACGTAATCTTGTACATCAATAATTGCTGACATATAGTACTGGCTACACGGTAAATGAATATGACATACCATCGTAAATACTGACGGATCGTAGTAAATACTGGTCGTGTGAAATTCGTCTAAGGAATCCATACTGATGTTTAAAGTAATAGATCTAAAATAGGGAATGTAATTTTGAAGATACGTCTTATCGTTGCTGTTAAAGATTTGCCAAATAGTACATAAAGGTTTTTACAGACACAACTGCAAGCTTGTCCAGCATGCTTGTTCAATGTTTTTGTACAAGCTCGCTTGAATGTCTGTAGGGAAATGTGGTGCAAGCTTTGTAATTGTACAAGCAGCTTGAGGATTGAATTGATTTTAATTATGCATGCTTGAATTAGGCGCGCTTGCGCAAGCAAAACAGTACGTGTGTACCCAAGATTTTCAAGCATGCACAAGTTGGCGTCCGTTGATGATCGTATCCTGCTTTTGAATCAAAGGTGATACAAGAGACAAGGTTTTAATACATCTCTTCATCCATACTAAGATAATTGTGCCAGTCACGTGGATATATTTTCAGCTCACTTAGTAAGTAAATGTGAAAATAGGTTTTCCCTTTTATCAACCATTCTTTACACCACACCGCACGGTTTTTTATTCGGGATTTTCTTTTCTTCACAAGAACAAAAGCGGCCAAAGCGAGCGAATCGCCGTCGAAGTTCGACATATTTAATTAAACTACCTCTATTTTTATCAAGCATGCTTGTACGTGTGGCGCCAAAGGCAAATTGTGCATACCTGTACAAAAAGATTGAATAAGCATGCTGGACAAGCTTGCAGTTGTGTTTGTAGCCACCTTTACGTACCTTTATGTGTAAGCGTACTATTATTGTCAGAACACTTCGCGCTATGCGCCTCGGGATATGAGGACAGTAATGGCCTCCTCCACCGAGGTATGGATATATTTATTTTTACTAGAAACGATATCGTATTGCCATATTACATTCGACTGAACTTCTAAATTCAGCACATCTGATAATTTTCTGTTACATCTGGCAACACTGTCCAAATAAAGCACGCGAAATGTCTGGATCACAGAACGGTGCGTGGGAGAGGGACTCTGCTTCTACATGATACGTCGACACATTATTCGCTTCCCACTCATTTCCCATAATACTCCAATATATTAAGTAGCTTGGGACCTCGAAGCTCTCAAAATAATGATATAAATACATACAATCAACAATAATAATTTGTTTGTTTGCTTGTTTTAGATTTATTTAGCATTAGTCAATATCCATAATATCCATATTACACAGCATATCACAAAATATATTATGTCTTCAAGACTACATATTTTTATACAAAATTTCACTACTATGAATTCTGGTTTTCCATGAGATATTTTTTCAATTTCCCTTTGAACATTTTCAAACTGACACACATCTTGATATCGTAACTAAATTTATTAAATTCGTATACTCCCTTTTGAAAGACTGACTTGCTCGTTATATTCCTACTGTAGTTTTGTAAATAAAAGTCTATACTTCCTCTAGTAGAATAATTGTGGCACTCATTGTTCAATACAATAAAATTTTCTAAGTGATCTGGTAGAAGATGATTTTTTAACTTGAATATGAAAATAAAAACCAAGTAGTCTATGAAATTTTTGATGTTTAACCATTGTAGTTCTTTCAGCATAAAATTTATTCTAGTATATTTATTTTTATTTAAGATGATTCTCATAGCTTTATTTTATAATATTTGTAATTTTGAAAATACAGTTTCATTTGCGGTAAACAAAATAGTCGAACAATATAACAATTGAGGAAGAATGATAGTGTTGTACACAATTTTTTTAGAATAAACGCTTAGGCTATGCGAAATTCTATAAAGTAATTTATTTTCTTGGATATTTTTGAAATAATATATTCTAAGTGCCCTACAAATTTTAATTTACTGTCTTCTTATATGCCCAAATATTTAAACGATTCGATTGACACAATTTTTGCATGATTAATTGTAAGATTTATCGTATTTTGATCTAAAGATTTTCCTATTAGCATATATTTTCTTTTGTTTGTATTTAGTTTAAGTTCATTTAATTATTATTTAAATAACCAATTTATTACGTTTTTCATATTATCATTTAACAGCTCTATTGCAGTTTCGATGTCTTTATTTGATATATATATATATATATATATATATATATACAGGGTGACTTCGAAGTTGAGTCATTTATTTTAACAGTGAGTAGATCTGATCAAAAGAAATGTTTTTTCCTTTACCATTTTTCTGGTAAAATTAAAGTAACAAAGTTATAGCCCTTTGGAAGTTTGAGTACCGCCCTGTCTCAATAATAATATTATGTGCTCGTGTTTGGCGACAACGGATATAATCCGCCGTATCGGTTCATCGCATCGGAAACAAAAAAGCGAAAGAATTTGGAACGATGTTTTTACAATTATTTTATTCACTTGTATACAGTCAGTGCCAGTGAATAGTGGTGTCTGTTGCGTGGCTCAAACGAAATAAAAAATGGCACATGTTTATGGGGATCGGTTTCCCAATCGAGTGCAACCAACCCCTCGTGCCTTTGTTAATGTAGTACAATGGGCTCGTGAATCAGGTGACGGCATGCCGGTGCTCCAAGACCTCACGATCAAATACAGGTCCGCACTGAAATACTTGTCGGGAGGATACTTTATAAAACAAGGTAAAATTTTTTTTTTAATTTTTTTTTATTTTTACACACATATTTTGGTTTATCTTCCTTCTACAATCATTATCTGAAAATTAATGACTCAACTTCAAAGTCACCCTGTATATTGTGTCATAAGCAAATAGTTGAATTTTGCAGTGTTGTAAAATATCAGGAATATCGTTAATATATAAAATAAATAGTAATGGACCTAATTTGCTACCCTGTGGCACACCTACTGAAAAGTTTTTAATGTTTGATAATGTATTGCCAATTTTAGTTCTTTGACTTCTATTGATTAAATAATTTTGTAATAAGTTGAATACTGAACCTTGAAATCCATAGCAATGCAATTTTGTCAACAATTTCTCCTTTTCAACAGTCTCAAATGCTCTCTTGAAATCCAAGAACAATGTTACTACCATTTGAATTGCTGTTTCAGTAGAATACTTTTTTCTGAATCCAGAAATTTTGTCAATACCTATCTTACTTTCTTCAATATATTCAATGACTTGTTCATATATGATTCCTTCTAAGAGCTTCTCGACGTCTGGCAGTATATTAATTGGCCGCATGTTTGTATATAACTCGGAATTTTGCACTTTTATAAGATATTAGTCCCGACAATATCTTCGCCGCAGCTGATAAAAAATTCTGTTTGTTTTGGATTTTATGCATAATCTTATTCAAAAAAAGCCCCCTTCAACAGATCTGCATGTTGCCAGGACCTTTGCGTCAACAATTTTTTAAGCAAATTCTGAAAATTGCTTTTTTGCTCCAGTCTTTTGTGCTTTTAGGTTTTGTGGACATTATGAACAAAAGAGGGACTTTATAACTTAAAGTTGATACTTTTCTAGATATAAGCGATAAAATCTTTGAAAAAGTGCGAAATGTTAGTTTTGACCCGGAAAATAATATGAAAAAATAAAAATTTTAATGTTGTCAATGTTCCTGAATATTCTTCAAACGCCACTTAACAAAAGCCCATACCATTTCAGGAAGTATAGTTGTTGTAAACCTTTGCTTTTCAATTGTTAATCGAGGGCGCGCTCAGTGTATGTTCTGCGTGACCGTGTACTCGCTTAACAATTGAAAAACAAATGTTCGCAATAACAATACGACCTGAAATGCTTTGGGATTTTGTTAATCGAAGTTGAAGAATATTTAGAAATATCGGAAAATCAAAATTTTTTCATATTGCTTCGGGGTCGCAAATGACATATTTCGCACTTTCTTAAATATTGGAACGGTTATATCTCGAAAACTAGCAACCTTAGAGAACAGTTTTGTTTATAAAAAACAAGTACTTTGACCGGAGCACAAAGGCACTCTTTGGAATTAGTTTAAGAAAATTCTGACGCAAACCTGCTCCTAACAACATGCAGAGTCATTGAAAGGGGGCATTTTTTAATCAGATTGTCTAAAAAACCCGATTCAGAATATTTTTCACATCAGATGCTAACATAGTTCCCAGACTATAAAGGATTTAATACCAGTGAGAATTCTGTGCCCAGCAAGCCAAAGAAGCTCTACATAAATTCATGATTTACCTATGGGGAGAATGTCACTTTTCCTTAGAGAAACTCAATAAATAATGCCGATTTCTCAGGATACACTTGATGAGTACGTTGATGCTATGGCTTCACTCGTATAGCTTATAAAATGGTTTAGCTTGTAGAACCTCACATGTACTCGTACATCATTGAATATAAGTTAATAATATGCTTAATACATGGTATGGCATGGTATTAGGTATTCTTTTTCAAAAGGTGACCAATTTTAGTTGCATTTAGCTCAACTTTCTGCCGTGGAAATCTTACCAGTGGTTTTTTAATACCCCCACTATTTAGTATTCTGCAAATTTTTCAGAAAACTAAAAGTACTCCGCTAGACAAAGAATGTTATTAAATGAAATAATAAGCTTCATATTTAAGTATCTATTCAAGAGCTACTTACTGTAATAGAATCAAGTGAAGGATAACAAAAACAAATGACACGCTAGTAAGAAAAAATCTGGGAAATTATTTGAAAGAGTTCTGATGAGCTTTTTGGTGCTGCACACCATTTAACTGTTCAGTTCAATAAAAATCCTACAAAAATGAATGCTCACAGTATTGAAGCCACGTGAAAAAAATTGTAATCAATGCTGGATTAAGGTTTTCCCTCTTGAGATTCCACTTGAGTAATTCTACAGTACTACACCATTGGGTCAGTGAACGGGTTAGTCAACATATTTGTGGCCAAGCTCACACCCATGTCTTCAGAATCACTTTCTACCAATGCTATAAAAGGGTGTTCTTCACTAACGATTTCATCAGTACTATTGGGAGGAGACAATGGTACATCCTGTGAGTCAGAGGACTCAGAGAAGCGTTTTGATGGGGTGATATCTCGTCATTCTTTGACGGATACGCTTGCTACGCTACCAGTATATTGGATTTCCACCTGGAAACAGGAAAATTTTACATTAGTATTTACAGTTTTTCTTTTTTATTGTTTATTATAAATGGAAATGAATTTCACAATTGCTGCCAGGTGTCTGCAACTTATTTTTCAGTTTCGTAATCCTTAATGTTCCTGTCTATTGTGAAAATCCAATAGTTATTGTTTCTAAAATCTCAAGTATAAGCTGTCCCGTTATAAATTAACTGTCCCTCTAGATTTTCTGTATGACCCTTTAGCAGAAAATTGCTGTAAAATAAAGTTGTATATTACACTGGTCAACACTGGTTTTGCCACACGAACTTTGACAGCTAATTTTGTTTTATCAGTCTACCCTCATTATTACATGACAGCTGTCATATGTCTATTAGCCTCATATTTGTTGTGATACGGTAATACTCATAACTAGTACTACGGCAGTAAATTAACAGAAACGCTTACAAGTAAATCCTTATAAAAATATTTGTTGTTGAATTTGAACACTTTTTTGTGATTTATTAACCCTGTGAATATGTCGATGAAGTGTAATAATGATCCTAACTCTTTTTGTTATGTCTGCGGAGAACTAACATTCAAAAAACAACGACGAAATTTTACGAATCTTGTGTTGGAGTGTTATCACCAATGTTTTGGTTTTTCTGTCGCCCATCAAGACAAATCCTGGGCCCCTCATGTCTGTTGCATAACGTGTGTGAATAATTTAACTGACTGGAAGAAAGGTGCACGACCTATGCCGTTTGCTGTACCCATGATATGGACTGAACAGCGAGATTGCTATTTTTGTCTCACAGACATAAAAGGTATAAATTACAAGAAAAAAAACCACAGTTATTTACCCTAACTTATCTTCGGCTACAAGACCAGTCTCTCATTGTAAAAAATTGCCAGAACTAATACCAGTTGCAACTACGTCTGTTGAGAACAATTCACAACCGTCCACTTCAGGTGAATGTGTTGACGAGGACGATGACTTTGAGTTAAAAGGAATTGTAAACGAGCCATATTTGATAACTCAAGGAGACCTAAATGATTTGGTTCGGGATTTAAATTTGTCAAAAAAGCAGTCAGAACTATTAGGATCACGTCTAAAAGAATGGAATTTGCTACATCATAATACAAAAGTTAGCTATTTTCGAAACCGTGATCAACACTTCAGAACGTATTTTTCTCAGGATGGAGATTTGGCGTTTTGCAATAAAATAAATGAGATTATGAAAATGTTGTACATAGATTTTGATCTCTCTCAGTGGTGTTTATTCATTGATTCTTCGAAAGCAAGTCTAAAAGCAGTGTTATTGCATAATGGAAATAAGCTTCCGTCTGTACCTCTGGCCCATGCTGCAAATATGAAAGAAACCTATGAAAATATGAAACTTTTACTTGAAAAAATAAATTACAGTGCATATTCCTTCAAAATCTGCGGTGATCTTAAAGTTGTTGCACTATTACTTGGACTTCAGCTGGGTTATACAAAGTTTTGCTGCTTTTTATGTGAATGGGATAGCCGAGACAGAACTAATCACTATATAAAAAAAACATGGCCTACGCGTGCATCATTAGTTCCTGGGCAAAAAAACGTAAAGTATTTACCCCTTGTACAGCCAAATAATGTGCTTCTACCACCATTGCATATCAAATTAGGATTAATAAAAAATTTTGTGAAGGCAATGGATCGCAATGGGAGTGGATTTTTGTATCTAAAAGAAAAATTCCCTAAAATAAGTGATGCAAAGATAAAAGAGGGTATTTTTGTTTTCCCTCAAATTAGGGAGTTAATAAAAGATTCAAGATTTGAAGAAAAATTAAGCGATTTAGAATCATCTGCATGGAAGGCTTTTAAAAATGTTGTTTCAAATTTTTTGGGTAACCACAAGAGTGACAGCTACAGAGAGTTGGTTAGCGAGCTATTATTGTCATATCAAGCATTGGGTTGCAACATGTCACTTAAGATCCATTTTTTAGACTCGCACCTGGATTTTTTTCCTGACAATTTAGGGGCTGTCAGCGACGAGCACGGTGAGAGGTTCCATCAGGACATTTCTAATATGGAAAAGCGGTACCAGGGCAAATGGAGCACAAATATGTTAGCAGATTACTGCTGAACAATTAAAAGGGACCAACCAGAAGCTAAATATTCAAGAAAATCTTAGATTATTGAGTATTTATAAAAAAAATAACTTTTCATTTACGAGATCGTGTGTTTTTTCTTAATTTTTTTAAATTACTCAATAGAATAAAATCCTTGTCTAGCAAATTTTTTTTGACTGTTTATTTTTTCTTACAATCACCAATTAAAGTAAAAAATATCAAAAAAGTCAGTGTGGCACGACAAAGTTAAAATTTTGTTGACCAGTGTTATTATTAATCTTAAACAATATAGTCCTGTGATCAGCCAGAGAGGGTTTCAGAGAGACGTAGTAAGTGGTGCTACCGCCATTCAGAACTTCAAGGTTCGTTGTCCCTAGACATTCGCTGACTCTTCACCCCATCTGTTGTTGTTCGAGCTGCCCCACATAACGTGTAGTGCATTGCTGTCGTACCCAATCACGAAGTTAAGTCCAGAATCCCTACAATAAGCCACAATGTCGCCAAATTCTTTAGACGGAGGAGGTTCCCTTGAATCACAACAAGGTATGCCCTGTCAGCGCTTCCGTTCTTATATTTAATTCTAACTTCAACTAAGTCCCTAACGGTGAATTCTTTGATTTGCCATGAATTGATTCAGTCATTGCGCTTACTATCCGCAACTGGGTAAGGACGTAACGGATTTTCTGATTGGAAATAACCCGTCTAGCATTTGTTTGATCCATAACTTTTAGGACACTCCATTTCGTACGATTTCTACGTCCAATAGCCTACAAGGAGATACTAACTAAAACTATATATAAATCTAAATTTTTATTAATGAACATTCCAAAAGCTTTTTCACTATTTTATTTTGCTTAATTTCCATCTTTTAATGTACTCAATCATCTTGGTAGGTTCCAAAAATGCCTTTGAGCATGTTAGAAGATATGACATCGCTGATAAATCGGTTGGTTAAGGTCTCGCTTATGCAGGTCTCCGATCTGCTCTCTTGATCCGATTCTATAGTAACGGTAGAGGTGACAGAAGGTCGGTCTATAGTTGCTGATTTTCGTATCGTAGTCGTCTCGATGCTGGCATTGCTACCTGTGTAGTGTATTTTCATCTAGAGGGAACATTCAAAAACATTATATATATATACAGGGTGACTTTGAAGTTGAGTCATTAATTTTCAGATAATGATTGTAGAAGGAAAATAAACCAAAATATGTGTGTAAAAATAAAAAAAAAATAAAAAAAAAATTTTACCTTGTTTTATAAAGTATCCTCCCGACAAGTATTTCAGTGCGGACCTGTATTTGATCGTGAGGTCCCCTGTGAAGTCTTAAGTCACCTGATTCACGAGCCCGTTGTACTACATTAACAAAGGCACGAGGGGTGGGTTGCACTCGATTGGGAAACCGATCCGCATAAACATGTGCCATTTTTTATTTCGTTTGAGCCACGCAACAGACACTATTCACACGCGACTGACACTGATTGTATGTATAACCGAACTGAATGAAATAATTGTAAAAAACTCGTTCCAAATTCTTTTGCTTTTTTGTTTCCGATGCGATGAACCGATAAGGTGGATTATATCCGTTGTTGCCAAACACAAGCACATGACATTATTATTGAGACAGGGCGGTACTCAAACTTCCAAAGGGCTATAACTTTGTTACTTTAATTTTACCAGAAAAATGGTAAAGGAAAAAAACATTTCTTTTGATCAGATCTACTCACTGTTAAAATAAATGACTCAACTTCGAAGTATATATATATATATAACTTGAGACGTGGTCATTGTCGTCTAGACCAGTTAGGTGAAAAATTAAAGCTTCCGCCTTTTGTTGGGTACTTCGACAAAATTTAAGCAAAGAGGACTCTTTATACTTTTTTTAATTCTCTCTAGCTTTCAATGGACTTTGCCATCATCATCAGGAGCTGTAATTACAATGATAACAGTAGCAACAAAAGTGTAAAATGAATTTAAATAGACTCAACTTACAGTAGTATGTGAGGATGTTGCTAATTGTTGTTTACGTATAGGATGAGGGAAACGTCCAGTAACATGGTGAGAGCTGGATAGATTGTACAATGGTCAAAATTAGTTAAAATATGACAAGAATAAGTTAAAAACAGATTAAAAATTATTTAAAAAACATTAGAGCATTACATCGTGAAGCCACTTGATGATTGCACAAATTAGTGGTCATGGAATAATGAGTGAGATGACACCCCTTGACAGAAGGCTGAAGGATGTCAATGTCTGTGTTGAAAGATGGAACGAATTGTGGGCGTGTGCCAAACGTTGCCAAATCACTTCAGATGTGATTTTCAGAATTTTATGTAAGAATTTGTTAAACCGACCAGAGGCAGTTGAATAAACTATATTTTAATTAATGGGAATTTAAATTAACAATTATTAATAAATCGTGAGAAGAGAATTATTATATTTTGAGTGGAATGGAATTTATTGGTGGAATCGGCCAAAACACAGATTCTAATTATGGTTGTGAAGAGTCGAAATTTGGGGAGATATGTAAGTTCTCCAATTTTTCGCAGTTTAGCAAATATGAGTAAATGACACTCAGTTGTTTAACATCTGTCTTTTTGTTGATACAGTTGTTATTCATGAAGATGTGGGACATTTCCAGGAATAAACGTTTGGAAAGGTGTTTTTCTTTATCAAGAACTTTGATACTTGTGTAATTCATAGAATGCCCTCTTGTGTTAACATGAGATGCTAGAGCGCATCTTTCAGGATGAAGCCTAGCATCACTTTTGTGTGATGTAATCCTTCCTTTAAGAGATCTGGAGGTCTGACCTATGTATATTTGGTTGCAGTTGTTGCAATTGATGGAGTAGACTGTGTTGGTTAAGCCAAACAGCGGGACTTTGTCTTTCATTTTTGAAAAAATGCAGTTTATAGTGAG